TGCTGAACTGAAGTAGCATTGCAGCAATGCATGCTTATAGTGGAGGCTTTTTATGCTGCAAAGGTGCTTAGATGTCATCAGGAAAGGTGAGATGCTCTGTCACCTTTATTTTGAAGAAAAAGGATATTTCTCTAAATTCTAGGAATCAAGGTGAATCATCAAGAATGCTGCATTATTGATTTAGAAATTGCAAAGACGTGGGACAGAATGAGCAAGAAAATGCACACGTGGGCAGGTAGTCCAGGACTTCCTACCCTTGGTGATATAACCTGTCTGATAAAGTTAATTTTTCTCAAATAAAAACAGATTTTGACTGCAAATAGTCATTTCATTGACCTAAACAGGAAGGGATGAGTCATAATTCTATTCTGATAGTTTTTGTGTCCGGCACTTTTCCAGGAAATATCATTTGGAGAATCAAAGGCTGTGTTTTGCAGACACTGAATCCAAGAAGCCTGTATTTAGCCGTTTTAGTTACACATTTTTTTAAGTTTCATCACAGGACTTAATGTCTTTTTTTACAGTGCTTCAGTATATAATCCTGTTAGGAAGCTGCAGATTTATAATGAAGCAGGAAGTAGCAGTGTCATTGTTTCAGCTGATTGTTTCCCTTGTGCTGTAGTATATTAACTAAGTAATGCTTCACTTGGCTGTGTAGAGCCAATTGCATTCTCAAGGACATCAGGCATGCCTGAAGATGAGTCATTACCTTTGGTACAGCACAAGAGGTGTGATATGCAGTCTCAGCAAGTGTTTGTCCATTGAAGTTGGTTAATAACCTATAGCCCTCTCCCCTGGCAAGACGCCATAAATCAATCCTTTGTGCATTCAGCAAACAGAAAGGCTGGTGTATCAACTGCCTCTTCAGTATCATCCCTTTATTCCCTTTCCTAGAGCGAGGTGTTAATCTGCAGAGATTTTTCATGTGGTGGACTTCTTCCACCCCACTTCCTTGAGGGCATTCCAGAGGCAGCACTCACAAGGGCAGCCCTTCAAACCAGGGAGAAACACCACAGGGTTTTACATGAATGACTGCAACCTCCTGTAGACATCCTCAAGATTTTGAGAACCTATAAAATCTGAGCCAGCCCCTGGGAAATAAGTTCCTCCTGAGGAAAATGGATGGGACCAGTCAGGAAAATTACACAAGATTGAATTCTATAGTGTTTACCACACTATCACTTCATATTTTTTGTTGGAGGTAAACCAACAGCTGGCAAAAGCAGTTTATCTTCTATCAGGAGGTTTAAAGTGGCTTTGGTGCCATTCCAATCCATATGGCAAAGGATTCCTTTTCCTTGACTCCTGTGGCAGTCCTCAATGCAGTGCCTGATTAGTTAAGGCCATGGGCAAGAGGGAGCTACCTTGTAATAGGCAGAAGTTCTTAGAAGAAGGTGTTGTCAAACCTCTGTGGGGTAACGGTGATCACTGCACACTTTTAGTTTTGATATCATGAAAGAGTTGTTCCCTTAGGGACAACACAGTAACAACGAACTTTAAAAGGGCAGATTATAAAACTAAGAGGAAAATGGTTAACAGCAGGCTGAAGGGCAAAGAGAAGTACTTAAAAACCATAGAGAGCTGCCTGGAGGCTATTTAAGAACATTGTATTAGAGGCACAGATGGTTTGTATACCTCTGAGCAAAAACATAGCGTACGAGGAAGAATGAAGCTCACAGGGTTACGTGGGAAAAAAGCACGAGTATGGAAAGGTTGAAAACGCATCCCTTAAAAAAATGACGACTGTCTGAATGACAGACTAGGGAACATTGTCAGGAGAGTGGA